TAAAATCGTATATTAGGGAATTACCCATTGAATTTGACTGAGACTCACAAAAACAGGTTTTATAATTTTCTTGCCAGTTTTCTGACACGCCGGAGTTTCAGTTTTGTTCCCATATTTCATCATTTGTAAAGTTTTGCGGCAATTGTTAAAATAGAAATCTGACTAGCAGACGACGACATTTAAAACAATATTACGAACTTTTTCAAAATATTCTAATAATTTTTAACTGTTGTCTGAATGAATTAGGGGTTGGATTCAAGGGTGTATACAGGAGGGGGGGGGCAAGGGGGATAATGCCAGCCCTAGACCTGGAAAGGTGGGAACCCCCCTAGAACTCAGAGCTTTCACACTTTTCAAATCTTAAACTCAAGAGTGAAGAACATAAAACAATAGTTTACTGTTCATTCAGTGCACTAAGAAGATTGTATTAGTGGACCAGAGCCACCAAATGACAGAAGTCCGAATGAAAAATCTATTTAGAATCCTAATGTTTGGCTTGGTTTGAGTCTGGAGGTACAGGGTGTCCCACGAAACATGACAATAGGAAGACGACTTGAAAGTCGTCTTTGGTATTTGAATTTATTTGTGACATTTAGTCTTCTATCTACTTTAACATGTATGATTCTTGAAACAATTATCACATAATTCTCCTAGCCCTGGCATTTCCAAAAAGTGGTCTGCGTTTTTTGTGCTTTCAATATTACCGGAGATATAAAGAGTTTGGTTCAGATTTCAATTTTGTTAAATAAAAACAAAATTGTCGAAATCTGTAAAAGACCATTTTTTGTTTTTTATTTGAATTTAATTTACTTTATTCATTGCACCGCTGTTTTGTAATCCTTCTTTTTATTACAAACTATCTAGTTGAAGTGCCAGGCGTTGGCTGTGGAACTGTAAAAATCGAATTAACACAAAAAACTTATAATTTATTTAGCTTATGTCATCCCCAAGGGTATCCATGAGTTTCCTTACTAAAATTCAGCCCATTTGGTTCAGCCGTTTGGGCAGAACAAACATATAAATGAACGAGAGCTTTATGACATAGATTACAATTGTACTCTTACTTTTTTCAAAACAGAAACTTTTACAAGTCATATTTTCTGAACCTAATTGTCCTTTTTTCATCTCAGAATTTAAGTTTACGTCAAGTTTTTCATTTTCAAAAATGTATTTTACTATCTCTAGTTTAAGTACTAATTATAACAGCATGATAAAGTCGATTTTTTAGAAACAATATTTTTTCTGCTAGTTTTTGTTTGAAGAAGAGATAAAGTATAGTACATGCAAGGTAATTGGACTGTATGTGTACCTTTAAAGTATATCATACTTATGCCTGATATCCAGGAAGCCAAATGTTTTGAATTTACAGTTCAAATTATTTCTGTATACGCCCTTGTCAAATGAGATAAAAGTATCAAATGTTGATGCAGGATGGATGGATACAAATGTTGAGTATTGGTTCATGAATTGGATACAGGTTGGATTTCATTGTTGATCCAATTAGGATAAGAATGTTAGGGATGAATACGAATGTTACAGGTATTGATTTATGAATTTTCCAAAAAATAGTTACTTTTACTTTTGACAAATTTTAACATGTTATTATATCCATTTTTCAAGACCTTTTCAAATATGTAAGTCTTAGCCCTGTAGCTTAATTAATAAAAAAAAGTTATTTAACATTTTAGATTTTTTAAAAACACCGACCCGCCGAAAAAAAAATTTTTTTTAGCAAAATTTGTTCACAACTATGATGTTGAGAAAGTGAAGACGTTTTAGCATTCTAATGTGAGCTATTTTTAAGTTATACAGGGGGAGGGTGGAATACATATCGAATGAATTCATCTAATGTCGTATTCTTCACTTTCTGATAGTGGAATGTTGCAGATATTTAGTTTTTTTAATTAAATGATTATACGGAGCTCTTTAAAACTGTTCCTGCATATTCATGGCTATTTATTTATTTTCGCAGATATTGAAATTTACGTAATATAGTTTAAAACTCATTGAAAAATTGTCAAGACGACATTTGATAAATTCTTCCGATGTATTCGTTATTGAGTTCGGAAGCTGTGCGGGGGAGGTTGCCTTCCCTTCCTCGCTTCATAAACAGCATGCAGGATACTGACCGTTGATATACTGAGAACTAAGCATGGACACAAAGAAAAGCTCTCAGTAAACAGTTTCTTTTTGATTACTTGTAAGTTGTAAACTAAATATTGTAATTTGAAAAAAGGATTGTTAACACTCAAAATTTAGATAGAAAAGTCGTCTTCAATATATCGATTTCAACGACTACCACTTTTTTGACAATAAACTTAATTATGGTGAACAAATTCCATGTGATTTATTGAGTATACAGTGATAACCAGAAAACTCTGGTCTAGGAAGACATCTTTCACACTCAAGAATTATGGCATGAAACACAGCAATTGTGCAGTGTAAGCAGAACAATTTCATTTGATAAATGATTTAACATTTACTAGTAAAGATATTTGCTTTGTAACAACATCAAATGCGGTTCAATATTGTTTTAATGTCGTCTTCCTTCTCTACAGTTTTCTGGTTATCACTGTAGATATCATCAAATTCTAGCAATTATTAGAAAAAGTCAAATGTCAAGTAAAGCTGAGTAATACTTATAACTTTAATGATAAAACCATGTAAAATGTGTAAATCCGACCCTAGCAATAATACAGAGCTGAGCTGAGCTGAGTTGAAATACTAAAAATTGCCTAGTCAGCTTTTCATGAAAAGAAAAACAGATAATTAACTTAAAATGAATACAGGGCTCAGAAAAACAAGATCTTTTTAAAAAGTAGTCCTCCTTGTAAAAATGGCTAATTTACAAGAACATCCCTTTTTTCTCAAAATTAGCCTTATATGAAAGAGAAGAAGAAATATAGAAATATCAAAATATTTTCATCTGATATCATATAAATATTTAAAAATATTGTAAAATTTAATTTAAAAATAAACTCTTAAAGTTAAAAAACCATGTAAAATGTAAATGCAACTCCCAGTCTTGTCACTCAATTTTGAACAATCATTTATAAGACTAGGCTTTTATAACGCTTCCCGCCCATCTTCTTTTTCAATTGTGAAAATTTTCTGTTTGTGTATCTACATTGTTAAACAAAATCAAACATAAAATTTTGCAGGTTTAAAAAATAAAATTTCGTGGATTTTCAAAATTTTTCCAAATAAGAGGCAAATTTTTGAAAATTCGATCCTCCATTAACCTTCCCTGGGGTCACGTGAGGTCCCTCAAAAAAGTTTTCTTTACCCCCCCCTAAAAATTTCTGAGGGGGGGTGAAGGCAAGAAAAATGTGTATTATATTCAACCATGAAAAAACTACCTTAACAATACAGGATATTTTGGGGGTAAATTTTTATGTTAGGGGGAATTCTTTTCAGTTTAGGGCAAATGTGTGTGGGAAAGTTCTTGAATCTATATTTCAGGGGCAAATTTTATTTTTTTATGGCAATTTTCAGGTAGGGAAATCTTCAATATTTGTTTTAGAGGAAAATTTCGTTTTGGTGGGTTTTTTCAGTTTGGGCAATTTGCATTTTCAAGTATATGAAGGTCTTTTTTCAATGAAAGGGTTAATTTTTGTTGGGCGCAAAACTTCTTAATTTTGGAGTAATTTTACCTTAAAGTTGGGTGTATTTATAAAACATTTGGGGATAAAATTAAATTAAATTTAGGTGCAAATTATGAATATTTGGTGGCAGTTGCCTGCTTTCTTTCCAGCAGGCAACGGACCTACTATGTATTAGTCCCAGAATTACAGCTGGGGAAGTGCTGAGTTTAGTTATGCATCTTGTATCCTATCTATGTCCTACTTGAGATAAAAAACTGGAAAATGTGTAAAACGCCCCCCTCACCCCTCTCCTTTCCATCAAGAAAATTTTATTGAAAGTGCGTTATAAATGTTAGGAATGCAGGAGCTGACTCAGTAACTTGACTGAAGCAAAATTTAAAAACAAACAAGCAAGAATATAGATACAGGGCTCCAAAAAATAGTTCTGCCTCTGCAATTTGGCTAGCTGCAGAAAACATCCAAAAAATTCATTTATTTCTATTTTCAAAATTAGCCAAAGTATGATTGAAGGATGGACAAGGAATGGACGATCAAGAAGAAAGAATGAAAAACAAGAAATATAGAAGTCTCAAAATATTTCACCTGATATCATATTGAAATTTGAAAATATTGTAAAATTTAATTAAAATAAATTACTAAAGTTAAAAATAAATATTTGGTGGCATTCTGAAAAAGGGGGCATACTTAAATCTGCTGGGGCAATTTGAATAAAATGCGGGAGTATTATTTTAAAATTCCGATTTGGGGGCATTTCTTTTAAGAAAGGGGGCAAAAATATAAAGAATCTAAGCTTATATTGAAAAATGTTAAAGTGGAATTTGAGTTTGCTTTAAGAGTTGGGGGCATAAATGAGTGTAGGTTAAAAAAAAACTTTCATCAAATTTTCGAGAAAATTAGTTATATTTGGAACTATATAGACCATTGTTAAGGACTTCTTATGGAGATGGTTATACTTCTAAAAAGTTGGAGGGGCAATATAGTTGTTCAGTTATTCACTAATATTGGGCCTAGGTCCTGGTTAGTAAATTTACTCAGGAATATACTAAGAATATTTCAAGATATTCCTGAGGAACTCTTGAGAAAATCTTTGGAATAGTTCCCAGGAACTTCCCAGGAATTGGTTTTGAAGAACTTTTCGCTGGAAATTCCCAAGATTTTGTTGACATTTTCTCCGGTTTTTCTGCAGAATTGGTAACAAGAAGTTTCCTGGAATTAGTTACAAGAAATTCGTTGGATAGAGTTATAAGACTTTCCTCGGAATGGGTTACAAGAAATTTCTCGGACCTGGTTCCTCGGAATGGGTTACGAGGAAATTTCTCGGAATAGCTTTCGACATTTTCACCGGATTTTCCTGTGAAAGATTCCTGAGAATATCCGCAGATTCCCAGGAAAGGTTCCTGGGAATTTCTGCGGATTTCCGCAAAATTGTTACTTGGGTCCTAAATCTTGGAAAGACGACATCTAGTGATAATAAATCTATAATGCTGAGAAACCTGGAATCTCACAAGTTCTCTGTTTACATTAACCCTTTGTGTACACAATACCTGCAGATAAATGCAAACAACTATGAATGGTTGGACTAGGGGAAAATAATTTATAAATTCCCCACGGTTCGCGGATTTTCATAAAACCCACACTCTACTTAGCTGCCCTTAGGTGCAGAGCACTTTCTAATCCAATGGAGCTAGTCACTTAATTTAGATAGATAAAAAAAAGAATTATACTAAACATAATGTTTCACGTCTATCATATATATATATATACATCTAATTAAAAAGTTAATGAACATTTAACATTGTCTAAAGGTTTTTTTTTTTAAATTAATAAAACCCTTTTATAAGTGAAATAACTAATTGTGTTTTTGTGCTTATTGCTATTTTCTTTTTTTAACGTTCGCAAATAACGATTTTTTATTTTAGAAGTAGATTTATTATTTTTAAATTTAATAAAATTGTATCTTCAAAGAGTTTTCTTTTCATCCAAATTAGATTTAAAAATTGTTTTGAATAAGATTAATTATTTTTAAATTTACTGTTTTTAAGATCATGAAATTGGTTTCTTAAAATTCTTTATACGATTTGTTGAGTAATTTTCATTTTTTTTTTAAATATTCTATTTAAGACCTGTATTGTCTCGTACAATAACAATGCTCTCCTATGAGAGTCACGAGAACAGATACACTGTGCTAAGCATCAGCAGAATTAATCTATTGTTAACGGACCACTTAAAAAATGTAGGAGTAAAAAGTTTGCAAAATGTAAAAATAAAGAAATGATAAGAAACGAAACATGTAGAGCTTTTTTGACCCCCCAAAAACTGATAAAAATGATACCCAATACAAGTTGGCAGTATGGTTTACAACAACAGTCAAAAATCATTGTGAAATTATTTTGCTTCGGCCGCAATTTTCTTCGTTTCCTTAAATTTTCGCGGAAATTACTAAACGTTTGGTGCTGGTTTGCACAAAATTTATTTTCGCACAAACTGGCTGTTTGATGTTGTATTAATCTTGGTTTACGTAATAACTCTGATATAAGGAGATGCTCTCGGAGGGATCCTATACTGTGGTCCGGCACGTGGAGGAAACGGCCTCGGAGGTCTAAACCTAGCTCTAGCTTTAACCCAGAGGATGCATGAGAAGAGAAGTGCGAGGACAAGAACGAGGATGAGGATTCCAAACATGAGAACTAGGCGGGAGGGGGACATACACAGCTCCGTATCATTCTAAAAAATAATAAATAAAATTACAAACAATTGAAAACATGAGATCGAAAATCTAAATTTTTGGCTTGTTTTGAACTACTCCATGAGTCTTTATGGTAAATAACGAGCTTAGTATGTTTGGTAAAAAACATGAAATTCTTAAAGATCAAAAATTTAATCTCTGTTTGTTTGTGTGTTAGATCATAACTCAGGAACCCCTGGACCGATTTGCCTCAAACTGTGATTGGGGAAATTGGGAGGCCCATGGGAATATTCTAAGACAGGTTTTGAGATTATTAGTTGAATGGATCGACTTCAATAGGAAAAATTTATTAAAAAACCGTTTAAGTGCGGGTAAACTGCAGCGGGTAAAACTCTGAGTAACCTGATGGGCAACGCTGGGTTCCCAAGCTAGTGATTTATATAATTTCCCTTAAAATTGTAAACATTTTTCACCCCAACCCTTTCCCCAGAGATAGAGGGGGTTTATTTATATATAATGTGCAATGTTCTAGTCTCTGATTTCAGAATAATGCTTGAATATTTTTTTTTGAAAAATGAAACTTTTTAAACATTTAAAAACAATGCTTTCCTTATTTTAAATCGTGCAAATCTTCTTTTACCAATAAAAATCTAAAGCTATAGCAAACAGCAATATAATATTCAAACCATAAGAAAAAAATTGTTAGCCAAATCTCACATAGTGTTAGATATGTCTTTGAAAAATTTCGATAGGTGATCTAACAAAGCATTATAATTTGTTTTAAAAGTGTTTGTGCAGAGGGTGAAAGTTTTAGATTTTATGATATTTCTCGAATTTCTCGAAATATGCCTAGGGACAATACTTGCATGATATATAGTAACACACTTTATCTTGTTTTATACAGAAAACAAATAATTAATATTTAATACAAATAAAAGATTTTTTGAATTTCACTTTTGCAGTTTTGTTAGATAGTTTTCGTGGGTGTACAGTGTACAGAGGGACCCACAAAACTGCTGACTGTGAAGACGACTGTTAGACTCAAGTTATAATCTTAAATAGTCCAATTACAAAGTTTTAAGGTTGGTTTTTGAACATTTGAAGTTTTGAGGTTCGTTTTTAAACGTTTAAAGTTTTGAGGTTCGTTTTAAACATTTAAAGTTTTGAGGTTCGTTTTCAAACATTTAAAGTTTTGAGGTTCGTTTTTAAACATTTAAAGTTTTGAGGTTCGTTTTCAAACATTTAAAGTTTTGAGATCCGTTTTTAAACATTTAAAGTTTTGAGGTCCGTTTTTAAACATTTAAAGTTTTGAGGTCCGTTTTTAAACATTTAAAATTTTGAGGTCCGTTTTCAAACATTTAAAGTTTTGAGGTCCGTTTTTAAAAATTTAAAGTTTTGAGGTCCGTTTTTAAACATTTAAAGTTGCATGTTTAAAACGGACGCTTAAACTAAGTCATTCTTACCTGAAGGTGTTCTATAAGACTGGTAGGTGGGTTACTAGGTCCATTGTGAACATCGGGTTCAACCTGAACAATGTTCATTTTAGTTTAAAATCTGCAAAATGAGACCCCGCCGTGACGTCAAAGCCCGAAATTTAAAAAGTATCGCTGAACAAAACTTCCAAGTTTGGAGTCTAACAATTGCGTAAATTTGCATAAATTTTCAGGACTTAGCCGACTTTTAAGTATTTAAGAAGTAATCGGCGATATGTCATCGATTTATGCGTGCCAGCTTGCAATCTTTGGATAAATGTGAGTAGACAGAGTAAATTGATAAATAAACCAATATTAGAGAAAACAAACCCTTTTCATTATTTGAATGCAGGAAGTGTAAAATTGGAAACTGGGAAATCTGGATAATATGTCAATCAATGTCAAACATTTTTTTTACGTTTTGACAAGCTCGGAGGACAGTTTCTGTTTTCTTTTGGTGGTTTTTGTTTTCTATTACAATGCAGGGATTATTACTATATCCTGTTTACTTCGGATCTTTTTATCTGTTTTCCTTTTCTATTATCAATTTACGTCTTATTACCTGTTTTCCTTTTCTATTATCTTGTTACGTTTTATTATCTGTTTTCATTTTCTATTATCTGTTTCCATTTTTCTATCTAGCTATTTTACCTTTCTATTAACTGTTTTAATCTTTTTTATTGTTTTCATCTTTGTAACATGTTTCTATTATTTCTGTTTCTGGTATGTTTAAATTTTCTACACCTGTTTTAACGGTATATGTCTAAAATTAGTTTTTAACTGTCGTATATCTAAATATCTAAAACCATTTCTTCAAAAATTTGCATTAATTGTCTTTTGCTATTAGTCTAAAATTTATAATATAAATATTTTTCCATATTTGTATTTTCTAAATCTGTTCCAATTACTGTATTTGTTAAAAATCTATTTCTATTTAGTAGTTACCGAATACCGATATTTTTCATTTATTCATATCTTGTTTTCAATTAAAACAAAAAATAAAGTTTCCAAAATAATATCTATTTTTTCAAGAACAACAAGATTTTGTTCAAAAAAGTTCCACTTTTAAATAGTCTATTTTTTTAAAAAATTTGTTAAAAAATTACCGATTGTTCGTCTACCCTGGCTTCCTGCAGTTCTCCTCCTATAATCGTCACACTAGATTCAAGGAATAAAACCTCGTCCGTTGATTCGTCCCTAGTTTGCTCGAAACTTCGTATATCGTCCTTTCGGCTCGTAGGATCCGCGAGTTCAATTTTCTGGAGTTCTGAACCACTGAAACTGCAGGATTCGTGGCACGATGAGCAGGAGACAACCTGGAACATTTTTGTTTAAACAAAAATTGTTTTGAATTTTTCCAAAAAGGGACTGTAAGCGTAATTTCAAGTGACCCTCCATGTTGTTAAGTGGCGTTTATAATTCACAGCAGGCCCTTTAAACCTTTCTTTGACTTATCAATGATGATTAACCTGTTCTCGAAAACTGCGTTGAGCACAGAATATTCTAGATTTTCGAATATGTTTGCGTCAGCTGTTGTGAGTTCAAACTGTACTCTAGCGTCTTAGCTTTGCACTGATTTATTTTTACAAAAAAGTCCAATTTTGTAAATCTATCTTGTGAACAATTATATTTGGAAAGAAATGAAAAGCTGTGTACTGTACGTACTATTCGTTATAATCCAAACTCTTTATTTATTTAGGAGCCAATAAACAGTTTTTCGTGTACAGAGTGTCCCCACAAAACATGACAATGGCTTAGTCTTTGATTTATGATAGAGATTTCTAAGGGTGCATAACAAATGTTGCACGACTTATAATTAGCTATAGTTTAGATAGATATCTAAGAACAAAAATGTAACCGTCTCTGGTCTGTAAACTGTCAAATTGACGAAACACCCTGCAATATAAATGTAGTAAATGTTTACAATTTATCCAATATTTCTGATACAGCTTCTTTGTTTACAATTACAGCCCCTGTAAATACACTACACCAAGTTTTAGATCAAAATACTTTAAATTTTTTTCTGAAAGATATTATTCTGACATTTAATTAAACAGAAAAAAGCAATTCAGATAACAACAGTTAATTCTTAACATGATCACCAGAACGTTTTTTACTTACGTTAAATCAAGTTGCAGCTGCATTGTAATCCCTTGCAGACTTTAAGCAATATTACCATTTTAATAAGATCGACAAAAAAAAAATAATTTTTAAAAATAACATTCTTTTTAAAAAATCATTATTTAATAAAATAGAAGATATTTTGTTTTTATTCTTTAAATCATAAATGTGAAAAAATGTCGAATTGGTCGCATTTGAAAAAATATTATAACTTGAACACACCTTGCAAGATATCTTCGCCTTTCCAATGTTGTCTGGAACAGTGAAGGTGTGGCTGATCTGCTCCACCCCCCGGCTCACAGATCTGCCTGTTAGTCCCTGGCCACACCCCTCCTCGTCAGTTAGCACCAGCACGCCAGTTTCTAGAAATATAAAGATTAACCTAAGGGGCCTAGGTTTCTTCTATTTGAATTCAATCATGTGTTGGTCTAGAATTCAATAATCTTTAAAATTACGGCTACAGCTTCTTTTTTAAGTTAATACAGTGGAATAATTTTAAGATAAAAGTGAGTGAAAATTATTTAAGGTGAAGCTTAATCCGAACAAAACAGCTGACATAGAATTTTCGCAATCTCTCATTGGCTGAGACTAGAGTTAAGCGCGTCTTCAACTGATAGGACTTTAAGAATTACTAATTTAAATCAATTAACATTTAAAAAAAGAAAATAAAGTATAACAATAATACTAAATAAAGAGTTAAGTAGAAAATGTTTGAAACTTTCAAAAATAAAGGCTTTGGATATTCCCCCATCTGTTTATTTAAATACTTTGCTTGTCTGTTTGTAACTGACCTACGTCAAAACGGCTGAACCGATCGGGCCCACATATGATCCCAGAGAAAGTTTATGAATACTCAGAATTATAGGAATTGTTTCCAAAAATTTTTGATTTTCGTAATATTTTGGAAATCCACGAACAAAATTGTAAATACGCAATGTTTTTTATTAATAATTGATTGAAGAGAAAATGCTGGAATATTTAACTGGTTAAGTGACATGTGGGTGCAATTTTTCAACAATGAACTAATGAACTTAGGGTAAAAATGTTGAACTAAAATTGAAAAAATCCTTTATTTATAAAGTGTGTGAAAATAATATGGTTACATCGAAAAAGTTATTTTTAAACATATTTTTATTATTGTTGCAATTTTTTAACAACCTTTTTGTTGTATTATTTCTTGTATTCACTATAGTCTTTTCTTTATAAAATCGTCTTTGTTTCGATTCTTTTTCAACATAACATGTGTTTAAGTTAAACATTGCATGTAATATAATCTTCAATTAGATTCTGTTTGATTTAATTAAAAGTATTAAAAGTTGGTAGTTTAGGAAAATGTTGTTCATTTTTAAACCATATTTTGCAGTGATGTTGTCAGCTAAAAGAGTGCAGTACAATTTTTGTTTTTACTCAATAGAATATTAGAATATAGAAATCGTGTCTGTTTTTAAGGGATAGACCGGCTATGCAAGGTAGTTAAACTGAGTATGCAGTGTTGTGGAAAAATTCTTTAGGATTCATTTGAGATATATAAAACTTTTTAAAGATCTGTAAATCCTGAATTTGAGTGCAAAGTCGACGTTCAAAATCGTACTGTAGGGTGGATGCGTTTTTAGAATGTTTTTTTAATTATTGAATAACGACGACAAAAAATGTAAAAAAAATTTTACAGTAAACTAGTTAGATGTTTAGGAACAGTAGAAAAAATGAAAATTAACTCTTATCATCGAATATAAGTAATCTTATTCGATTATTAATTTATATCATCTCTCTTTAATCACAAAGATTTTCTGTAGATTTTCTGGAATTTTTATTAAAAAGACAACATTTGAAGAATTTGAAGAAATCATAGGACAAAGAAAAAATTCAGAGAAAATAAGAAATTCAATATATAGATGAAAAGGAAATAATTAATTCTAACTTCGGTTTATTGACAAATTTCTTTTGAGAAATATGTTCCTAAACAGTTTACCATTAGTATAATATAGAATATTTACTAAATTTTTCGTTGTCGTTATTTAATAATTAAAAAAAACCGATTCTGAAAACGGATCTAAAACCCAAATTCATGAATTTAAACGTCGACTTTGCGCTCAAACTCAGTAATTATACATCATGGAAACGTTTTATATGTCTCAAATGAATCCTAAAGAATTTGTCATAATATTTATTTCTTCAAAATGCTCTTATTGGTTGGTTTATGGGTACCTTTGCGAGTCATGTCCCTTCTAAAATGAAAGTTCACTTAAAATTATGATAATAGTCCCTTTAGTTAAAGTGCATTCATATAAACATTAATTCTCTAAACCCAAAGATAAGAGTTTGAATATACAAACTTTGTTTGATTCTAACAAGCATAGGTTATTTTAAAAGTTGATTCTGGATGCAAAAATATATTATTGATTCAACTGTTGAATTTATTAAATTTATTTGTTATTGAAGTTTTTTGTTTATCAAGATGGAAAATTCTATTCAGAAAACAGAGATAATTAAATGAGATGAATACAGAGATAAAAAAATATGAAAATAAAAGTTTAAAAACTGTCCTGGGTCACATTTACATACAGGGAATACAGTCGCATTAGATCTCATAGTGACATTCTTTTATATTGGTCGGATTCTATAGACTCCTAGTCTGAACCGTTTGCTGTACTGTACTGTATGCTCTACCATTTTGTATGCTGTACTGTGCTGTTCACTTTACTGTGCTATATTCCGTACTGTATTGTATGCTCTACTGTATGCTTTATTGAATGCTTTACTGTATTGTATTCTGTACTGTACTGTGTGCTTTACTTATGCTGTACTGCACTGTATGTTGTGCTATTTTGTATGCTCAATTGTATTGTATACTATGTTGTAATTTATGCTCTACTGTATGCTTTAATGTATTGTATTCAGTACTGTACTGCACGTTGGCTTTACTTATGCAGTACTGCACTGTAAGCCTGGACTGTTTTGTATGCTCAACTGTATTGTATACTATGTTGTAATTTATGCTCTACTGTACTATATACTATTCTTTACTGTAGGCTGTATTTTTCTGTATGCTTTACTGCTCTGTATGCTGTACTGCTCTGTATGCTGTATTGTTCTGTATGCTGTACTGTACTGTATGCTGTACTGTTCTGTATGCTTTACTGTTCTGTATGCTGTACTGTTATGTATGCTTTACTGTTCTGTATGCTGTACTGTACTGTATTGTGTGCCATAATGTACTTTTTCCTGTACTGTAACGTGGTGTATGGTACATGTTCGATAATTGTACTACATGCTCCATTCAAAACCAATACAATAGATATGCTATACAATGTACAACGAAAAATAGGTTCATTTAAAGTACAAGACCGACTTTTGAGCAGCTAGAGCAACTTGTACATAAAGTATACATGTTGGTAGACTATAGAGTAAAGACGGCAAAATTAAACATTCTTTCATTTCTTTCATTTTTCATCTAGTGAGCGTTGTCGCATAACTATTCGAATTGTGCATACTCCTAGCCTGTACTGTATGCACTGTACTGTACATATCCTGTACCTGTTCGGATTGTGCAGGCTCCTAGCCTGTACTGTACATATCCTGTACCTGTCCGGATTGTGCAGGCTCCTAGCCTGTACTGTACATATCCTGTACCTGTCCGTATTGTGCAGGCTCCTAGCCTGTACTGTACATATCCTGTACCTGTCCGGATTGTGCAGGCTCCTAGCCTAGAAGGGTTCCTTGAACCCCAAGTTCTAAGAAGTAGGGTTGCATTACTCATGGCTTCTAGGACACCAGCAGAGGAGGTTCCTGGAGAGCCCCAGACCTCCATCCAACCTCGGATATCCTCATCATCGTTCTTCTCTGTCGACATTACCTGAATAATATCATTATCAGTTTTATTATTGCATAAAACAGTGGACAGTGAGACCCAGAAAACAGTGGACATTGAGAACCAGAAAACAGTGGACAGTGAGAACCAGAAAACAGTGGACAGTGAGACCCAGAAAACAGTGGACAGTGAGAACCAGAAAACAGTGTACAGCGAAAACCAGAAAACAGAGGACATCTCGTCGTCTTATTTTTCTTTTTGGATCATCAAATATTGCGATGGATTTGTAAAACTTAAAAATGTCCTGATAATTTTTGAATTTATATTAGTGGCACTGGCAACACTTTCAAATTAATAAATCTTTAGCGATATTTCTCAAGTAAAAGGAAGAACAAATACCACTTTAATTTTTACAGTTTTCTGGTTCTCACTGTATAATTGCCAACAAGTTACACAATCGGAACCGGGAACTTTTGTGTTGGGTAATTCCGATCACTTTATTCACTGTGGGCTCTTTTAGTTTCAGGTTTAATGCTAAATCTCTTCATTACAGTTATTATTATCAGTACAATTACACTGCGAAGCTTGAATAAAGATTAAGTTAATCTGCAGATTAACAAAAGATTAAATTAATCTGTGGATTCACAAAAGAGTTCCCAGCTCAGAGCTGAAAACTTTAGAATGGTGAATATCAAGATTAATGTTTGATCCCCTGGTTTTACTAAACCCAAGATTATTTTAAAACGCATTCGATATCCAAGAAAGAAGTTAAAAATTTAACCAATCAGCGTGTCATGTTAAGATGTACTCTTTAACTTTTGAAAAACCAGTTTTGATTTCTGGTGTTTATGGTGTCATATCAATTGAACTAAACATCGATTGAACGAACGTAAGTTTTGGATTAATGTTTATTAAGACTAACGTTCAAAATGACAATAGCCCTAAAATATGTTTTTTAATAATTTCAATAACATGATCAAATTTAGATTTGTTTAAATGCTGTAAAAGCCGGCTTTTGAACAACTGACTTTAATTCAATCGGATATTAGTCCAATCGATGCAGCCTTGTATCTGTAATTGATATCAAACGTAACTTTTACACAGCAGAAATATCCAAAAAAAAAAGGATTAAGAAGAAAATCAAAAGTGTGTACATTGGATAATCAGATTAATTAATCGTGATTAAGGATATCTCATTCTAAAGTTTTCAGCTCAGGTGTCATAAAATTCATTATTTTTAAAATTTTTTTTAAAAATTAATGCATTTTTATGATATTTTTTTTAAACGTTTCCATCACCATAGTATCCAATTAAGTTAATTTCCCCCCCCCCCAGCTTTTGCTATAAATAGCCCAACAGAGATAGGGTTAAGGTTCTAACTCTTAAGTACCATTATTGGATTGAAACAATTTAATCCGATTTCTCTGAGTCCTGATCGAATTCAGATAATGAACAAGTGGTATTTTTAGCTCAGTTAGAGTTGTATGTGTAAGGTAAGTAAAATGTATTAATTTTTGTATAGAATTCAATATTTAATAATAATGCTGGTATTCTTAAATGACTCACATGCAGCTTACTCTAAATTTGGAAAGAGTGGAAAAATTACTGCACGGGCCCCCAAAAAACTTGAAAATGAATTTTATAAAGATGCATACAAAGTCGCTGAATTTTTTAAAACCAATTTAAAAATGGCTACTTCCAAGCATTCTTGCTTAAAAGGAATTTGATCTTTTGCCACAAACTCAAATTTTCATATTCCTATATTTTGCAATATTATGATGATGCAATATGATTATTTTCCACTTAGATTATTTTGTCTGAAACACTTCATAGTTTTAAATATCTAAAGTCAACGACATGGGTTGTTAAGATATATTTGGTTTAGAAAATCAGAGTTTGTGACAAAAACTCAATTCCTTTGCCATTTGGAGTGTTCATAGACTACAATCCGAGATTTTGATTTTTTCTTCAAAATTTTATCGGATTTCAATTTTTTGTCAAATTACGATCAAAATATTGAGCCCTTCAAAAAATGTTCAGTTCTTTTAAAATGTTGTCATTTTGATCTTTTCACATTATTTACTCTAATCCAAAAAAAAAATCAAAATCTACAAAAGCTAAAATTCTTGATTAACCCCCCCCCCCCTTCCTTTTTAAACGTATTCTCTTATATATATTTGACTGCCTCATAATATTTTATATCAGTTCTCTGGTATATATATACCACAACTTTTAAGTCTTAAGATAAATAAATCTGAATGTTTTCAGTCATATTTTTATCTCTCATTCAAAATCTGTTAGTTTTGGTGACTTAAATGAATTACATAGTTCAACGAAAAAGTATAAAATAGCAAATACGAAAAATCTACATTTAATTAGAGAAAATGGGTTTTTAAGTTATTGCAGAATTAGATATCCATGTTTTTATTGTTTAAAAAAGTTTATTTTTATTTGCGGTTTCATCTGCGAAACTAACTTGTGCATTTTTAGGTTATAATAAAAGAAATGGAGAAACTCACAGAAATAAACACTTTTCGAGTCAGAAAAACGACGATATCTTCTCCTTTTTTGATCAGAGTAAGGTTGTAAATCGGGCATTGACATCTTTGCATTGAGGGTCGCTTGAAATTACGCGCACGTGGTCGATAATAGTCTGTGTAAACGGTGTATATTTTATATATTATTTTTGTGAAAATGGATTCCATGACAGGCTGTGACATCCGTCTTGTGTTTACTTTTCCGCCCAAAGACAATACACTGCAGTACAAAAAAATGCGTACACCTCTGAAATAACTTTCCTTGCATTAGTACCTTGGTGTAAACGGTGAAGATTTAAATTTCTGTCCCATAATGCCCTTAATACATGAGTTCATTCTTTTGATTATTATAAACCCCCTTCCTACCCCCTACCCCCTTTTCTTGAATCCTTGTATCAAACACTTTGGAGGAATTTGATGAATTTTCTCTTGCATATTTTCTCTTCAGATTTGATTAAATGTTTCGGTAAACAATTTATCTCAATTTTAGCCCAGGATAAAAACAGTTTTCCAAGAATCTTATATTTTAGAATTATTTTTCATAAATCAGACGACAGGTTTTCAATTTGAAAGAACATGTGTCGTTATTATTGAAATCCTACCCTACCCCCCCCCCCCCCCCCCCCCCCCCCCCCCTCCCTCCCATCTGACGATTTGGTAATCTTAGAGCTGCAATAAACGTTTAAATAATCATAATTGTGATAATCATAATCATAATTGGGACAAGGACCAAACTGTTAAATCAGCGTGCTAGGTATTCAAGTATTAACTACAGGAGTCAGTTCAAAGGACATATTTTACCGCACTTAAAGGGACTGTAAACGCAATTTCAAGCGACTCCCAATAAAAATGGAGAAATATACACCGTTACCCTTATAACCCTTTGTTTTATTTTAACTGATAGAGGTTCAAAAAGTTTCATTGTGAGTCAGACACTCTTTAAACATTTTTAAATAAATAGTCAGACACTTGAAATAACGTGACCAGTCTATTTAAATCAAAAGTTCGTCCCAATTTTGCTCTGGAGATAATTTGTAGGTATTTCCATTTTTATGCGTAGCTCGAAAGGTGTTGAATTCTGATAATTTGCTCCATTGTTTCATTAGCAAACTCCGCGAGTCACTTTCCAGAGAAATCACGATGAAAATAAACTACTTTCAAAGAGAAAATCATTATGTGCCTTCGTAATCAAACAGAGCTTTAAAGGTACCAATGTGAACCGTACATTCCTCTCTATATAACCAGCAAGTTGAAGTTATGTCTACAGTTTCATTCAGTTTTTTGATTGAAAACCTATTTCTGCCTGAACAAAAATAAATATTTTAGAAATCACCTCCGAGTACTGTAATATACAGATCAAACTTTGAAAGTAGAGTACATGGCTTGCACAATTAGTAAAGGATTAGCGTACATCATCACTCTATATACTATAACCTCGTTAATTTCTATGTATCCGAACCAGGGGGGATGATAGTTCTCTATCATAGAGAATAGAATATATAGAGAGGAATTAAAAGAATCTCTCGGTATGAATTTTTTCAGTCCCTTTCTGCCTGAAAGGGAGTTCAAAGTGTACAAATCATGTAAATGTTCACAAATTATATGCAGTAGAGTACATTAATACAGTATGTTACCCAGACTATTCATTTCAATTTCGAATTTTTTAAACTGTTAAATAAACTTTATAATGAATTAGTTGAAAAAAACATCATTTGATTTATAGTTATAACGGAAAATCATCGTTTGTAAAGTGGAAAGCATAGAGTCTATGTGAAATGATCATTGGTCAATTATGAAACCAGCCTATTTCATAATTTGGTTTTCCTTTAACAATAATTTTAGATTTTCTATATAATGATATTCCAGGGCCCAACAGGTTATATAGCAAAAATATGTGAAGTACACCTGCAGTATGGAAACAGTACAACAAAATGGCCGTTTTACACTTTTTTCCATTAAATTCCTCTCTATATATTCTATTCTCTATGTTCTCTACTTGTGTGCTCAGTTAGCAGTACTGTACACTTACAACTGTGTACTAATATTGATATACTGCAGTAGGTTATAGCTAGGCCAGAATCGACTTATAATAAACAAATATGCAGTACGCTCTCGGTATACTTGATGGCCTATACGATCAGTAAAGGATTAGCGTACATCACCACTCTATACACTATAACCTCGTTGATCTAAACCAAACGTCTCAAAAATGTGTTTCTATATAGTATCCTACCTGTGATATCATAGTGTTAAACTGTTCCAATGCTGCATATTTATCTTCTAGTTTTCTATTCCTCTTTTCCAGCTTTTCTTCATTTTTAGAAATCTTCATTTTTGCTTCTTCTTCATGTTCGTTTGTATTTGCTATCCGGACAATGTTTTTTACTTCCTTTTCAGTCATTGCATTGATATAAGCCTAAACAACAACAAAATATATCGAAAATTATCGAAAAATTAGAATAAAACAATGGGTTTCCCAAAACACTTTCAGCCAATTTGGTCCAAAAGAAGATATGATTATATTATTACATAAATATATATTCAGATGTCAACTGTGTATATGATAGAACAAATATAAACATTATGTATACTGTATAGAACCTTTGATATATATATTCTAATAAAGGTTGATAGATGTGTGATATGTGTATGTTATATTTGTTCAGAAATCTGATTCAGAGGTGTCAATAAAAAAACACGGAAACCAAAAAATACATTTTGGAAAAAAAGATAAAAAGTTCTAGACAAGCAATACATATTTATGTAGATGAATAAAGTTGCTCACAGAAAACGCACCCTTCAGTTAAATGTAAATTCAACCTAATGTCTAACCGCGTCAACCTAGTTGCACCGGCTAGTCCTATTGAGTGTCTGCCTTATTTACCCAATGTCCCGGCGATACAGTACAAACTGGGACCGGTAAGTTTGACCCTGCTCGGAAATTCAAATGTACTACGGTTGCCCAGAAAAAGAGACTCAAAAGACGACCTCTTTCAATGTAACAGTTTGAACGCTGATTTAAGTTTGAAGTCATTAAACGATGTACGAAATATTTAGAGCCCCGTGGAACATATATTGACAAAACTTTTATAAATACATTCAAAATGGGTGAGCGAAATAAAATGATAAACAAAAGCATAGTCTACTGATATATTTCAAGACACCCTTTTTAGTATATAAACATGATACAGTGTGCTAGGTTTCTTTACATCCATCTTTACATCAAACTAAAAACCAAAGACAAACAAGACTTATTAAAGTGGGGAATAGCCGTTGAAAACGTTCCGGTACGAAACCTCCCTTAAATAAACGTGCTCTTGTAGCAACGAAAGGAATACGACCAAATAAATAAGACCAAATAAACTGACTGAATATATATTTATCAAAAACAGTATTTATACTAGATGCAGTATATCATAATCTAAACAATAACATGTGAAGTATGGAATATGCTGTGTACTGCATTCCAGGAATCCAGGGGCGCCACACTCTGGTATAACGCCATTTACAACATGATTAGTGTCAAGTTACAGACAAAAGAATTAAAACTTAGCCGAAAACTCATATTTTGCAACCTAATGGTTTTAGAAAATAGGGATTAAAAAATCGGAGTTTGTGGCAAAAACTCAATTAAATCCTTTGTTAGTTTACTAAAGGTAGTCCGTACTCCATATATTGTCTATGGATACTGGTGGGATTCATAAAACATTTGTTAAGAAAGGATAGAGCCAATATCATCAATAATATACAAAGCCAAGAAAAATGAAAAATTGTAACCAGGCCTCGCTATATGCTTAGAATAGCTGTTCAATGTTCACGCAGGGGGCGGAAACGTCATGTGTGTGTGTCTGTACCAAAAGAATGTGTGTAAGTGACAACGAATCGAAGGCGTGTACTGTAGGTATATACAGTACATACAAATCTCGGTATTTGTACAGTCTAGGAGAGTACATTTGTTTATAGTTAATTGTTTAGTTAAAAATAAGTTTAATATCCATGTAATATAATATTTACATATTTAAGTCATCACTATAAGCAAATGTTTCATGCAAAGAATATAAATTGATTAAAGTTTGCAAAAACTACTCGTTATTCAAGTTTGATTATAATTGACGAAATTGTTCTGCAATTTCCTTGACTAGAGTCATGTTGTGTGTCTGTACCAAAAGAGTGTGCGTGTGTAATAACGAACTCGTCTGCAAAGCATGGTAGGACTGGATTTCTCATGCCATGCTAGCGCCAATTCCCTTCCCTTTATTCTTATTCCCTGTGTTCATGTCATTTCAAAGATTTTTAAATAGTTAAACACGATAAAAAATTATTTCATTTAAAAAATCGTACGTATATTATTTGTTTTGCTTCGAATGAAAATTAGCAGATGCAATGCTAAGGCATTGTTCATGATTTCGTCCTTATGTCTGGCAAGGGAGGGGGAGGGGGGGGGGAGGGAGGAGTTTGCATAACTTAAAATAATACGGTCAGAACAGAGGGGGGAGAAATTCAAACAATCTTAAATACCCCATAACATGTTTATTGATTGAGTCTAAAGCAACTTATTTGAATTTTTTTTTATAAACAATAATTTAACGTAAGTTGTCTGCTAATATTTAAAAAAACATGTTTCCGATAGATAGGGTAAAACAAAATACCTGTCCTACAATAATGTTGTTGGGCACTGCTGTGGGGACAGAAATAGAGCCTTGTTTAGTTGTTAAATCGCATTCAATATTCAGCTTTTCATCGATTACCTAAATAAAAACGGAGCTGAAAATTTTGTTTTGAGATCAATCTTAATCTGCAGATTAATGTTTTTTATTTGATATCAAGGAAATTGTCTAAAAGTCAACAGAACAAATTGTCGGTTGCCGAAACCAAACAGCCAATCAGCAAGCCGGAAAAGTTACGCGCAACCAATAAGAGAACTCTTTTTGGTCGGGACCCAGGAGGGATATCCAAAAAGTAAGAATTAAGCAGAAAATCAAAAGATCGGGATTAAGGCTTTCCAACACAAAAGTTTCCAGCCCAGAGGGCAAAACTTTTTAATCTATCACTCATTTTCAAGTAATTGATTTGGGTCGTCACGCGTCGGATTCACTTAATTATTAACTCTTCAGTCTTCATTTATAGTGTCAAAATCTCTTTGCCTGATTAAGTAAGAATTAGAAATGTCCAATGTCTATGTTTCTCTTTTGAAAACTGATTTTTTTCATTTAGGATTTCTGTGCGAAAGTGGCATGAACATTTTTTCATCATAATTGCACCTTTCAAGTGACTCGAATCGAGGGTGACTTAAAACTATTTTTTTTACTGTATTTTACTGTATTTTACTGTATTTTACTGTATTTTTGGTGATTCGTAACTTTAATTACTGCTTAGCGCCGATTGAAGGATTCATATCTAATTGGATGATGAGATAGATAGAAAGATAGATGTTACCGTCATGCAATTTCTATTGGTTCAGAATAGACAACAAACACATGACTGAACCCTGATTGGATCAGGCGCTAATGGAATCGGTATACAAGTGTAACAATGGATATTAAGTTAGCGCACAATGATCTGAAGGTTAAAAGTTCTCACGCAAAAATTGCTGAGAATTTTTCTAAAGCTTCTTAAGAACTAAATCTAAAAACAAGTGTTTTATAGATCTAAAATGTACAAATGTACTCACAAAAAAGGTGTAATTGAGTTAGTAAGGAAATATCAAAGGCCAATGTATTGCGACCAAGTCTTGAAAATTGATGCAATTTTTTGTAACTGTCTGGGTTTATTTGAGCGCTGTTTCAGGCTCCAGCCATAAGTTTAGCGTTCTTACTTGTCTTTATTCTTTAATTCAGTGAAAGTGGTAGAGTACAAAGTGTCTCTAAAAAATACTGTTATTAAAAGTATCAATGATTTATTCATGACCATCTCCGCTCCAGTAAAATAAAAAAAAACATTTACAAATTTTGTTAAAATAACTTCTCCACAACCTGACGCTTTTAAGCAATATTTTCTTTGAAACCTTATATATTCAAAAAACAATTTGCAATTTCAAGGGCTTTTGAAAATTTCACAAAATTCTGAATATGAAATAAAAAACTTTCCTATTGTAATCTTCATGTCAACAGGAAGTGATGAGAATTTTGAAATATTTATCGACGCATCAATTAAATTTCTAAGATATCCATTTTTAAATTTGGCCCAAAACGGTTAAGTAAGTTCACACAGCACAAGACGACTATGGCAAAATCTTTCCATACCTCTAAACCCAATTAACAATTTTTGTTTTGTGTTAAACCCCAAATACTATTCAAATATTGTCTGAAAACTGCTGCAATTTTTTTAGTTAATCAATTTTAAGTTGGCATTAATGTAAAAATGAAATCGCGTTGGATAGAAAACTAAAGAGGCCACAGCATATGCATAGTTGTTAAAATTAATTCGAAATATAAGGAAGACGATTTTTCCGACTCAAATACCGTAGACCTTTCTCTAGATGTATGCGTGCTCAAGATCTGTTTCCTCCACGTAGTGCCCGCATGTCAAACCCCGCTTCTTCTCCCCCCCCCTTCTACAGATCCCAGCCCCGGCAGTCAGCCGAAAACACCCGAGATGATGACAACTCCGTCTCAGGGAGCAATCCTGGCTCCTTCATAGTGATGATGCAGATACCTATAGCTACCAACAGACGATGCTTATATCCAGCTCAACATTGTTCCAAGAGTTCCAAAATTATCAGGCGTACATTGAGATGCATTCCCTCANAGGGTCCCTTGAAGTTACGCCTAGTAGTCCCTTTAACATTGTAATTATTGGCAAAAATCAATTCTTATTTATAAAATTTAGAATAATTGAAGTGCAAAAGCACAAAACAAGAAATAAATTTCATGGTTAAATTTTAAACATTAAAAAGTTCATATTCACCATAATTGCAATTTCTGGGATACTTTATGCATATTCTGAATTGGCGGTATAGTCCGACTGCAAAGGTTGGCCCAGCTGGGATATTCAGGTTGGTGCTCTCCCCCCCCCGTCAGGTTGGACCTCCCCCCTCCCATGAAAAGGTTTGAATCAACTTAATCATTCCAAATATCGTAATCTTTGGTAAAACGTCATGAAGGATTAATTTTTTTTACACCACAAACTTTGTCTCAGTTTTCCAGCCAAATTTTTTTATTTAAGTAATGGTATACAATGTTTATTTTGACTGTACAATTAATCTTAAAAATGTAATTTCAAAATTCAAAACAATCTCTTTTTGGTGTAAAACTTAAAAATGTGTCAGTTTTGGAATGATTCATTGAAAAAAAAAGATTTTTGAAAAATCCGCAAATATCAATGTGAATGTGAGTTCTGAAAATTGCCCGATAATAAATTGAATATATATTTGTTCTTTCTCACAAAATATGTTTAAGGAAACTCATTTCTTTCACAAAGAAAATTGAGAATTAAATTGAAACATAAAGTTTATAGACAAGAAAAAAGTGCAATTTCCCCATTGTTCGGAGTTATATTGAGGGTAGGGCGGGGTAAAGGGGGGGGGGGTTGTACTAGTTCTGTACAGATTTAACTGTACATATATAATGTACATGTAGGTGCCTCAAGTAAAAATATAGCTAAGCACCGTTGCACTGTAAACTGTACGGTGTACCTTGTAGCAGATGTAGACAAATAAATTAATCAAGATCGAAACATTTATATTTCATAAAGGTTTTTGTCAAGCAATCTACAACTGCTGTACAGTGTACGAATGTAAACACGCAAATCTACAACTGCTGTAAATATTTATGCCTACATAAATCCACAACTACTGTACAGATTAAACTATTTACCTGTTGTACATAAGCATCGTACTGTACAGATTAAACTATTTACCTGTTGTACATAAGCATCGTACTGTACAGATTAAACTATTTACCTGTTGTACATAAGCATCGTACTGTACATAAACTTGCAAATAAATCTTCTCCCCTTTCTTTTCCCAGCCACACCCACCAGGGGCAACAGAAAGTCCTATCTCATGTCCCCCTCCTCCTCTCACTTGGCACCCCTTGGGTACCCTTGATGCCCCTGATCCTATTTTGGAAGGGCTTTCAATATACATCATTCCTGAGAAAGGGTCTAGAGTTCGGGCTTCAACCTGAACAGTGTTCGTTGTTTAATTCAATAACATTTGTTTTCACATTGTATGTAGTTTTTTTAGAGTTTAAAGGGACAGTAAAGGAAAAATGAAAGGGGGTATAGACTGAAAGCTAATCACTTTAGCTCTCGATCGCGACCCATGAAAGTTTTATCTGATGTTCCTATCTCGAGAAATTGATTTACAACTGTGTACCCCCTTTCATTTTTCCTTTACTGTCCCTTTAAATAAAAATTTTAGTACTGCAATTTTTTCGAATATAAATAATCGTTCTTGTCGAAGGTAAACTTATTTGCACTTAGTTAGTAAATTTTAAAATTTCCTTTTTTTAAAAGTTTGAATAATATAAAAGTTATCTAAAGGGTAAAAACTAGAATTATGCTACATAAGATGGTGCATAGTTGACATACACTGCATATATTTATGATTTAACCCTTGCTTCTCAAACGTACAGGGTTACATACAAAGAATAAGACTGTAAAGACGACCCAAAACTCTAACAATATGACAATATGAAGCTTAAGTTTTGGTTTATGCACTCAGTTGAGTATTTTGATGGTTTACTAAATGATTACGCATAGAAATACGCCAGTTTTGTCCTTCAAGAAACCCTGAATGCAAGAAAACTGACTAAACAAAGTTCGTACAGTCGTCTCTGAAGTCTCATCTTTTGTGGATAACTCTGTATTAATAAATCTCGTATTACAAAGAGCTGAGATATGAATTTAAAATTTTAAATCGTGAAATATTTGTTTCGTATTTTATTTTTTAAGGAATTGAGTCTTTGCCACACAATCTGATTTTCTATTTCCTATATCTTTAAACCACACTGTCGAAGACCTTAGATATTTCAAACCATGAATTCTGTTAGATCAAATAATTCAAGTTTAAAATATGAAGGTGTACAGTGTACACCACCAGGTTCATACTCCTCTGCCGCTTTAGTAATTGTAAATTGGCGGTATAGTCCGACTGCAAAGGTTGGCCCAGCTCGGATATTCAAATGTTTAGCGTGGGTTGCAAAGATATAAAGATAAGAAAATTTGAGTTTGTTGCAAAAACTTATTTCCTGTAATGCACATTGGAAAAGTGTAAAGGATGTTAGAAAGGAATGAAGCAAGAAAGAAACTTAACATGAATCAAGATGAATCAAGATGAATCAAGATGAATCAAGATGAATCAAGATGAATCAAGATAAATCAAGATGAATCAAGATGAATCAAGATGAAGCAAGAAAGAAACATGAATAATCAAGATGAATCAAGATGAATCAAGATGAATCAAGATGAATCAAGATGAATCAAGATGAATCAAGATGAATCAAGATGAATCAAGGATCGGAAATTAATTTTCCGGAAACAATTTCCAAGAAGAGGAAAAAAGTTTATGCAAAAATGATATGTCTGAAAATTGGAAACTAATTTCAGATAGATTCATTCAATGATTGCTTTTTTAAAATTATGTTTATGTTTTTATTCATTTTTTGTGGATTTAATAGTAAACATTGTTAAAAATATGTAATATCGCGTTTACAAAACATTTGTACCAGGCTACTTAATCAGGCCTAGGGCTAATTAAAAAAGTCATAACTAAATTGGAATAAGAGATTTTCCAATAAAAAAACACACAATCTTACCCTTATTCTATTTTCACTGCAATCTATATTCAGACTTAGAAAATCATTTGGAGATATCCACCGCGTTTTTCCGCTGGAAACAACCGATAAGATCACAATAGCGGTAATCAACGTTTTTCTCCAGCTATCCGAGGGTGGATTGTCCGCCTTGACAGTTCTGATCATGGCGGAGGGTTGGTGTAAACTGTCTGACTTTGACCAGATGAATTACCGGCGATTTCAAGTATAACGGAACTTATTATTATGTTTGTAAGGTAGTTAAGTAGATAGATAGATAGATAGATAGATAGCAATGTATCGGAAGTAGTTTCTCCTCCAGTCATTAGACGAACTACCGTTGTTTTGTCTCCTCCTACAGCGCTAGAGTATGGAATTGAGTTGTAACAAACTAGAATTTTCTAATCCCCCATATCTTCACAACCTAATAAACCTTTGATATTTCAAACTTAGATTATTTAATCTGACAAAAATATCTATGGTTTACAACATCGGGTTGCAAAGATATGTATGTTAGCAAATTCGAGTTTGTGGCAACGATTCAATCATTTTATTGCATGACTAATAAACCGGTAAACTGGCATTTTGGGTTTAGGGGGGGGGGGGGGGGGGGGGGAGTTGTAAAGAGAACCAAAAGTAATTATGTTTATTAATATTTGAATAATTATATTTGTGCAAAAACAATAAATGTTGATTACTACTATTATATTATCATACAGATATTACAGATATTACAGACGTATTACAGATATTACAGATATTACAGATATTACAGACGTATTACAATCATATTAAAGATTGCAGTTATCACAAAATATTTAACTGAGAGGGGACAACCATATTTATATTTACATTCTCTCTATTTAGAAATTCTCATCTTTTACATTTACAAAATCTGATAATTTATTGATAAAAGAGGTATTTTCAATCTTTTCAAATTGGTGTTTTATTCCTTTTCAAACTCAAAAACGGTAAAATATAACTTTTAAAAGGACTGTAGGTGTAATTTCAAGGCATTTTTTTGTGGACTCTCCGAATCACATTGTATTACACTTTAAATCTTTATTTGTTCAAAAATGAGAAAGCTATCGTATTTTTTCTGTCTTAAAAGGGTTAAATTCTTCCTTTGTCACGGGTAGCCGTAGTACATTTGAATTTCCGAGCCGGGTCAACCTTTCCGGTCCCAGTTTGTACTGTACCGCCCGGACGTTGGGTAAATAAAGCAGACACTCAATAGGACTAGCCGGTGCAACAAGGTTGACGCGGTCAGACTTTAGGTTAAATTTACTTTTACTAAAGGGTCAGAGGTGCGTGTTGTATCTGCTGCATCCCTAAGTCACTTTTATTCAACAACTACAATTGAAAACATTACATTTTTTAGATGAAATTTCATTCTTGATCATAGAAAGACTAACGATACCGTTGTGAATCAGACATTCTACAAATTTAGGGTCCCTTGAAGTTACGCCTAGTAGTCCCTTTAACATTGTAATTATTGGCAAAAATCAATTCTTATTTATAAAATTTAGAATAATTGAAGTGCAAAAGCACAAAACAAGAAATAAATTTCATGGTTAAATTTTAAACATTAAAAAGTTCATATTCACCATAATTGCAATTTCTGGGATACTTTATGCATATTCTGTGGAGGGGGAGGGGGGGGGGGTCAGAACTTCACCTGTAAATCCAGTGTAAGCCGTCTATGTATATGACAAGTGATACAATTTTGGAAAAATCTCTTGTCTTTTCGCAGATATTATTTACGATTATTAGGAATACAAAATTGGGTGCAAATTTTGTTTAATTTCAATTAACCTTCCAGATAGAATTCCTATTCACAAAGCTACTCATCAAATCATTGATATTTTCTATTTTACTTTTAAATTAAAGTGACTTCTAAAATTGTATTTTTAAATTTCGATCCCTTGAAATTATATCGGCATTCGGCAGTCTCTTATTTTAAAAAGTATATCGAAGTATCAGGATGTAGGTATGTACTATGTATATGTTTTTATGACTATGTATAGATATGTCAAGAATGAAATTGAAAGAATGTTGCTTCTAATACTACAATGTTTTATAATATTCTTATATACTTTTATATTCGGCAGATCAAGCAAATAGTTAAAGTTAGATGGGAATTTTTAGATGTGCTTTACTAGTGCTTTCGGAGATCAATTTTAATCCGCAAAGAGGCCGAATTTAAAGAATTTGAACCGCGTCGCAAAACCGTCCAAACCCGGTTCCAATTGAGTGCCGACTCAAATCGCGAAACATTGAATTTAATTTTGAGTGGAACCAACCATGTTAGAGACGCGTCTCAAATTTAAGTCGCGGCTCAAATTCTTTAAATTCTGCCTCAGGAGAAAATGTTTAACTAGGCATACCATAGGTTATTACTCATAAGTGTTTAATTGCACATTTTACTAAAAGCTCTTTTGCTTTGTATTTACCATGCATGATTTGCATGCTTTTCAAAGATAATTTCAAAGATAATATGATATGAATAAAATTATAAAATATTGTCCAAACATCATCACAAACTTTAAAAATTCAACATAAATTAATTGATACAATTTTCGTCATGAGAAATATTTTTTGCATCCCCTCTTATTTAGTATTTATATATAGTTAAAGGGAATGTACGTGTGATTTCAAGTAACCTTCCATTGTAAGAGAAATAAAACCTATAAATAACATTTTTCTTAAAATATTAATCTGATCAATAATGTTGAAAAAACCGTGATTTTTTTTTATCTAAAAATTGTTTAACTATGATAACTTTTACATTGTAATTTGATTGAGAACCCACAAATGATCAGTTTTTAAAACTATAAACATGGATATCTACTTCATACTTGATCAGACGTTTGAAATTACGTCTCTACAGTTTTCATTAAATTCAACATTTTTGTTTCTCTATTGAAAATGAAAATATTTCTCAAAATTGTTGTCAGCTATATTTATTGTTAGATCTTTAAAACTTTTATTGACATTACAAATCAAAATTTAGGTGACAGAAAGTTACTTTTATTGCAGTTTATTTCTTTCAATAGTTAACAAACGAGATAAACCCACTTGAAATACAAGAACACAGTCAATATAATCAGCTGTTCAGTTTAAGTGTCCTTAACACTCGATGAAGGGTAAAATTGATGACGTATATTTCTGGATATCTGGCCTCCAGGGTTCTTGATAGAGAAATATCTCTTTGAATATACTTATTCATTTTGGAATGAATAATTATAAATTAAATCTGTAAATTGGATGGATTTTCGGATGTTTTAAAAGATTGTGTATTTAATTTCAAAATGACTGTTTGATATTTTAAAACTAAATGGAAATGCAATATCGAGATTTTTGGAAACAAAGAAGGGTGTCAGAGTGGAAATTCTTTTTACCTCAAATTTCTATTTGAAACTCTTTTTAATTTCAAGTTTGAAATTAAAAATTTGAAAGTTTCGTAAAATGAAGTTTTAAAGTAACATAAAGAAGAATAATAAGATGTTTTAAAAAGGAAGTTGAAGTGCCTTAAACGGAAGTTTGAAGTAAATTAAAGGGAAAGACAAAGAAGCCAATTCCTTATTTTTATTCTTGATTAAAGACCAGTCATAATTCATGTTTTGATACAGGGTGTCCCACGAAACTTGACAGTTGGTGAATAGTTTAAAATGTCTGCTTCCATAATTTGATAAGTTGTTTGATACTAAAGAGATTAACAACATTTTTTATATGACAGTTATAGTATAGTAAAATTGATTTCACAGTAAAATATATATGAATTAAACATTTTTTAAAGAAATAAATTGCAAAAAGTCTTTAATATCTAATATCGTACATCGAAGAAGACATTCAAACCTATTCACCGACTGTCATGTTTCGTGGGACACCCTGTACAGAAGTGATCAAAACAAGCCTTATGCTTTATGATTGATTAAAAAAATTAGATTTAAAGAAATGAAATATTCATAGCTCTGTATCAATAAAACATCTCTAGAAATAAACTGCACAATCTTTTTAAAAACTATAATCGGAATTCTTGGATGATTCCTAGGAGCGTCTTGGATAAGTAAAGAATTCTATTTTTTATTTCTTGTGAGAAAATTAGATTTTCAAGTTTTCGTTGAAGTTCAGAGATTCAAGATTTGGCTCCACTCTCCGCTCTCCTGAAATTTGAAGCAAAATGTCAATACCTTCAATTTGTGGACAAAATAAAATCTTGTATTTTTAGAAAATCCGATAAAGTTTTTTCTCTCTTTCAACTTTTATTCCTTACTTTTCGTCCATGTAATTCTTTTTTTCTTTTCTAATATTTTCCTTCAAAAGTTGCAAGCCCTTCTATAGAAAGGAGGAGTATTTTGCAAATAAAACAAGTGCTTCATTTCTAAATTGTACGTGTCCAGAGCTACAAAACTAGCTAGGTAAACCAAGTGCTTCATTTCTAAATTGTACATGTCTACGGCTACAAAAAAAGTAAGTGAGGTCAACCTAGTCCTACAAATTGATTCAAAGGAATTGAGTCTTTACCACTAACTTTGATTTTCTAATCCCAACCCAATGATATAGACATAACAGTTTTCAAACTATGAATTCTGTCACATCTATTATTGTAAGTTTAAAATATCAAAAGTTTACACCATCAAGTTTCAAAGATATTACAGAGATTAGAAAAATTTGGCAAAAAAACAATTATTTGTTATTAAAATCAGGATTTATGTTGTGCTCTTAGTGTTTTTATCAAGTTTAATAATTAATTATTCAACTGTAATCTTAATACCGGACATTCATTTTAATCGTAATCATGAACAGAAAGTTAGAGATATCTCACACATTTGAAACCCGTATCATTCTATTCGGGGTTTTGAACAACATTAGATTAGTATAATGAATAAAAATGTTAGAGTTTCCTCTTCAATTTATATTTTCAAAATTTTTAATATTTTATTAAAATATTAAGGTTGTTTCCATGACCAGTTTATTAATTGAACCAACGTATTTGGAATAAATATGATATCTATAAATTTTCTATTCATTCTTCATTCATAAAATTCTTGAAACTTTTAGTCTTCCTTCATCATATTTTTAATTAATGTTTCTTTAGAAAAAAATGAAGTCATTTTTGATTTTGACATATTTTTTAGAGCCTTCATGTTCTAATCTTACATAAATTTCTAACTTTCCTTCATCAAAGTAAAATTTAACTTTTCTAACCTTGCCCTTCAAGAGAACCTTCATGTTCGATTTCAAGTGAACCTTCATTTAGAAAGAGTATTCCCGATTCACAATGGTACCTCAAACTTTTATCAGATCAATGTGATTTCCAGCTTGAAAACTGGTTCCTTCTGACATTTTCCGTTTGCAGAAATCCGCAAGTAACTTTTATGAATAATCACAATTGAACATTTTTAAGTAGAATAAACGTATATCTCAATCAGTCTTGATCATACTCTACTCTTTAAACAGAGGTTCACTTGGAATTATGTCTTTAGTCTCCACATAGTGCACACAGGCTGATATGAAAAGTTACATAAATATTCAAGACAGGGTCAAATTTGAAGTGTCGACATGCCTTGGGCTTTGATATTACCGCACTAACTTTTTGTAGCCCTAGACTTTTACAATTACATGTTTGAACTGTGATTTAGATTTACTTTTTAATTAGAAATTGACAAAATTCACATATCGGGTTTTACGTCAGAGCTTGCAACCTTTGGATCAAATATATGAACAATATATCTTTGGATCAAATATATGAACAATATATCTTTGGATCAAATATATAAACAATATATCTTTGGATTAGTTTGATATATTTCAATTGTAATTTCTCTGGTTTAGCTTTTAAAGCATTATCTTAACTTTCAAACTGTACATAAAGCCCCCCCCCCCCCCCCCCCCCCCGCCTCTCCAAACCTCCAAACTTACTTAAACTTAATCCATCCCCGTCCTTATACTATACATTTGACTCGGTGTACATTGCATAATAAGTTGATATACAAACTTTTTTATTCAAAATAATTTTTAACTACAAGTTAAACAGTTAGTTTTACATTTTTTGTTGGTCCCCAAGAAGAGTTTATCAAATAATCAATCAATCAATCAATCAATTAAAACAAAAGAAAGAAACAGTCGTTTTAAAAAAGTGAAAAAAATATACAAACTAATAAAACGTGTTGTTTTATAGATTATAAATATTAGAGTGTTTAAATGTCGTCATTATTTCCCCAAGTTTAAAGGGCATTGTACCTACTGCACTGAGTTTAAGTGGAGATGATGTGACAGATCTTGATCTTGTTGATAGTGTATATCCAAGTCCTTGAAGGAACAATCTAAATATATTTAATGATTATGTCGAGAGCTACAAAAATGAAATTTTTCGCACAGAACAGAACTGATTTCTCACCACATAGTTTACCTTGCGTACAAATTATGAAACATTATTGGTGCAATTTTAGGATCTCCTCTAGTTTGGGTTTTACACACAAGTATTGAAGTATTGAACAAATTTATTTTTTCTGTTCTAGCTTTTCAATAAGGAAAGTTCTAATTGAAATCTATGTTAATTATGTAAGTTTACGTTATATTTACGCTAAATTTACGTTAAATTTACGCTAAATTTACGTTAAATTTACACTAAATCTACGATAAATGACAATGTGAAAGCGACCTGATTGCTTCTGCTACTTTAATTGGTTGCTCTTCAAGAACCATTCCTGCCTCCTGCATTTTCATCCAGGTACACCTAGAGACATATAGGTCTAAAACCAGAAGAAAATCAGGCAAAAATTGGATCTTGATTCTGATCAATATTCGGAGCTTACAACATCTTTGCCCATGTATTTTTTGCCAATGTCAATTTTTTCTGTACGTCAATTTTGATACAGGTCATTTTTAATATTTTTTTATTTTGCTATTTGTCTTTTTTGTAGCAGCAATTTGTAGCCTGCAGTTGCGCTATCTGCAAAAACAATGCTTTCTAGGTGTATGCATAAGATATGGTGGTAAAAATCTACCAAGCAAAAATAAATACAGTAAGAATTGCATTACATATAACCTGGGTCTTTCTATTAAATAATTAATTGTTTAAAAACCTATTTAACAATCAAATAGCTTTGATTTGACTAACTGGGTCTAAAAGACCATTAGTAATGTCTTTTAAACTACCGCAAAATTGACGATTTCTAGGTCACATAAATCCAGTTCGCGAGGCCTGGGTTGAGCTGAGGCTTAAGTGTCAGTTAAAACTGGCCTAGATATAATCGGCTTTTACAGTTGATATTTTAATCAACAAACCTGGTCAAAACTACTGTTAATGTTGACCATTAAATTACCTGGCTGGGTCTAATCGACCATTAAAGTTTACTGTTGCCTCGATATGCGGACTGTTGTCTCCCACAATATTCAGAACTGGCATCTTCAGGGTTCTAAACAATCAATTAATCAATAAATAAAATTATAATAAATCAGGGATCAAGAAGTCAAATAATCAATCAATAAATCAACAATCAATATAAGTCAATTATCATAAATATTGCTCAATCTCTTGAAGTAATTTTAGAGAGTTGATAATATAAACTTTATCTCTGAGATATTTGAATTTGGCGCCCTGCAAATTCAACCAACCACCGCTAGGGGCTCAGAAGGCGCTAGTGTCGGCTCTTGGCAGCCATTTTCAATAGCTTGTTGCCGGCATAAAGAGCACAGATTTACTCAGAATAAATTGACCGTACAGGTCTTAGTAGAGGAGAAATCTCCCTTATTCTTTAGCCAAAATAAAGTACAGGTTGGGAGTTCAGGTGAAGAAGATGTGAACAGGGACCCGACAGAATGACTCAGAGATAAGGTAAGATAGTATCATATCAATCAATCGAATTGATTCAACTAAACAATTAATAAATCAACAAATCAACCATTTAGCATAAAAATCAATTAATCAATAAAATAAACAAACAAACAATCAATAAATTAATTAATCAATCAACGAATCAATCAATTTATCAATCAGTAAATTAATCAGTAAGCAATCAGTCAATCAAAAAGTGAGCAAGTGAATCAAGAGATCTAACAATTAATCAAAAACCGAGAAAATAATCAATGAATCATTAAATGTATCAACTAAATTATTCCTAAAAGAAAAAGTTTTTTTTTTAAGTTTTCACATTTTTATGAAAATTTACAGCAACCTAAGACATTTTAAATACAAAAAAAACCAGTTTTCATTAAATTTGATAAAGTTTATTTAATATTTACCTGTTAGCACCGTACAGGGTTTTCCCGTCTGCAGAGAGATCTCTGGCTAGCTGAAAACAGATTTATTTTAATGACCCCTCTATCTTTTTCTAAAAATAAACCTCTATTTTTAATCTCTTCCAATTGACATAACATAGTACCAATACACACTATTCTTATTTCATCAATTAATGATAAATCATAAGAATAGAGAAAATTAAATCTATATATAAAGTTAGATGAATAAGAAGGTAATAAACTTTTATTTTATGTTTACAAAGATCTAACAAATCATAATAGTAAAGGCAGTGGAGGTCAAGTGTGGTTCATGAATCAATAGACCAACGTTGATGGGGCGATCAATACATGCATCCAATGAGCTGTGGCTTTTTCTCAAACGAGAGAACTTGAAATCTTCATTTCGTTTTGACAATGCCTTTAACCGTTATAAATTTTCATCTAACAAAATTTGTTGAAGCACAGACATCAAATTCACCTTAGCACAATCATTTATCAAATTCTGTTGAATGATTCTGCTTAGGTAAATTTGATGCCGGTTCTCCAACAAATTTTGTTAGATGAAAATTTAAAATTTCACGTTTATAGATATAACATAGCAGGAAGCATTAAATTAAAAACTATACAAGTTAACGAATAGTTAAATTGTATTGATCAATAAACAAAAACTTAGTTTTATGAGAAAACTTTGGATCTCTGGGTTAAAAGGGAAATAGGTTTATAACTTTGCTTAGCAATTAGGGTGCATTGTATTTCTTATCATTATTGTTGTTTTTATTATATATTATTATTATTATTATATATTATTATTATTGTTATTATTATTATTAGTATTATTAAAGTGGATTATTACCGCCAGGTTGGTTATAGTTTATTTTTTAACAAAAAACGTGAATGTTGAATGTCGTCAAGCATTAATTGTTAAATACTTTCAGGATTAAAAATTCTTTCTTTGGAATATTGTAGATTTTTAATTTTTCATTAACTATTTTAGTCTTTTCTCGTGTTTTTAGAAAGCCTTTTATCAGTTTTATCAAATATTTAAGAATACAAATCTACAGTGAAAGCTTTGATGACCTTTTTCTTTATCAGATTATTTCTTTTATGATCAGAGCTGAAAAATTTAGAGTGGGATATCCTTAATTCCAATCGATTAAATTTCAGAAATGCGCAAAAATTAAAAACCGGGTTTTTTAAAGTAAAAGAGTGCATTTCTAATCTCTAGAAATTAATCTGAAGACTAAATTATTCTTTAGATTAGCAAAAAGAGAGGATCAAACATTGATCTCTACATCCACCGTTTTAAAGTTTTCAGCTCAGAAATTGCAATGCACCAGTTTTTGAAAATTATCATCAAATAGAGACTGAAGAAGTAATTCCCAGTCTAATTTCACAACGGTTCCATTAACAGCTTTGTCTCATCTAGAATGCATCCAATATGAACACTTTTATTTGCAGTGACGAGTGAAATTTTGTTTAAAAACAATGGAGGCGATATTTATCAGTTTTCTGAAAAATTTGTGGATTCTCTACAAAAGTAATATGCAACTGCTTCAGAAACAATGGAGAAATTATCAGAATTACACACTTTTCAAAAGCCAGAAAATTACGCTACCACATCATTATCCAGATTAGAATTTCCAGGGAATTCTTGTGAATTGGGAATGAAAGGTCTTTAGGGGGGGGGGGGGTNATATAATGAATCTAAGACTGATGGCTACAAGTCATTTAAACTTTTTGCAAATTTTTAAAAAGTAAGTTTTCCGTTCTCGCTTCTAACAATTACAGAAATCCATAGAAGCAGAATTATGAGGGTATATAGAAATTCTTCTAGGAGAGGCTTATCATTTTTTGACATTCCACGGGGGCTTAGTTAATTATGGAGGCTATCCCCCCCCCCCTCCCCCCTGAAATCATAGTTTTTACTTCTTCCAGGGGGAAGGCTTGTTTGGTTGCATATTTTAACTCTTTTTTTTTCTTATTTTAAATTCCTGAAAAATTTCTAACATGTGAGAATTCAAACTAAATAAAATCTATATTAGAATAATGCTCTGTTAGCTGTTGTCTATTCTAACTTTTATTGAATATTAACTGTAAAGAGTTTAGAATGGGAAAATACAAGAAAAGCTTGAATTAAATTTAAAGGTTAATAAGAGAGAAAAACTGTAAATTCTAATAGAATATTTGACTTTGTCATGAAAGGGTATACAAGCTAATGTATGGAGTAAAATTACATTCAAACTTAGGAAAGAAGAAAAGTGTTTGTTTTACTAACTTTATCAACTTTTTGCATGCAAACTTAAAAAGCAGAAAAGTGATGACCAGAAAACTGTAGAATAGGAAGACGACAGTAAAAATTCAGTAGTGCAATTTACTAAAGTAAGTTGTTAAATCGCTTATTATATGAAATTGGTGTGCTTACACTGCACAATTGCTGTGTCTTATCTCCATTCTACAATTAAAAATCAATAGTTGAGTTTAAAAGTCGACTACTTATTCAAGGGAGTTTTCTGGATATCACTGTATGTAAACAGTGATTACCAAGGCCATCCCTATTAAATTTTACCCTTGTTGCGAAAAGCACCAAGAACCCCATTATCCATTTGTTTTACAAAATAAGTTTGTCGGATTCTATTCTAAGTAACCCGGAATAAAATACATTTATTAATTATGTCAAAGTCGTCTTTGACCTGAGAAATAGTTTGCGGCATTCAACAAAGGTAACATGATTTTAGAATTTTTTTTGTGAAACTATAATCATGAAATAGTTTAATTTGATACATTAAAATTTAAACAAAAGTTTACCATCTCTGATATTTTTTAGAGCAAAAAAATGACACACCATTTATGATATTCCAGCGGGAGGCTTAAACCCCGTTGGGTGCTGAATCCTCCCTTATTATTATTATTATTATTATTATTATATTGTCCAAACATCATCACAAACTTTAAAAATTCAACATAAATTAATTGATACAATTTTCGTCATGAGAAATATTTTTTGCATCCCCTCTTATTTAGTATTTATATATAGTTAAAGGGAATGTACGTGTGATTTCAAGTAACCTTCCATTGTAAGAGAAATAAAACCTATAAATAACATTTTNATAATTATACCTGTGTTATAATTATACCTGTGTTATAATTATACCTGTGTTATAAATATACCTGTCTTATAATTATACCTGTGTTATAATTATACCTGTGTCATAAAATGCTGTTTGTAAATGGATGCAAGGCTTAGAGTATCTGGACTCAGACGAGAACCTTAAACAAAACATAAATAATTTGTTTTGTCACAAACCACTGCAAACTATGCAGAAGGAGAAGTTAAAGATTTCACTGGAAGGACTTTGTGACCTCGTAACTCCTTTACTTTTGAATTTACGCAAAAGTGTGAGAAGCGCAAATTTATTTGGCGACATATTAGAAATGTAAAACAATTAAGTTCTTCTCAATAGCTCTCATCAATTAGAGGAAAACATAAAAACATTTCTTGCTTTATACTTTAGTTTGACGTGAAAAATACGTTTTTTGTCCCATTAAATTTTGCTGATCTGATATATAGGTAAATATCTTTTTGAAAAATATACACTAGAAAATTCAAGTTTTTTAAGTAAAACAATTTTACCAAGAAAAAATGTCCGGTTTAAAGAAAATGTTTGTATCCGATTCCGACCCATTTTTTCAAATTTTCCAATAGAATTTAATCTTTGTAACATGATGGTGTAAACTTTTCATTTCTTAAATCATACTAATGTCTAAAATTTACTCATTTTATCATACAGAACATTTATGTAGATATGTATATAGTTTTTTTTTGTATCCAATACACGCCAAAACGGCGATAGGGCCCAAATTTTGAAAATCAACGAAATTTTTTATGAAATCCGCGAACTTTGTTTGTTATTACTTTAAAATGTATACAACGAGAAAATGTTTACAATAAAAATAGAAGATGGGCGCAAAGTACCATGAAAGCCTAGTTTATAGACATAATCTCTGCTTGTTTGTAACTTTGTATGTCCTCATAACTCATGAATCTCTTAAAAGATTTGCCTCAGAATTAGACTGGGTAAATCTGTAGAAACATATATATATATATATATATATATATATATATAGCATGGGTTTTCCAGCCAAAGCTGGTTACCCAAGAAAGTACAAAAATAAAGTTACTAATTTTACCTATATGATGCCATAGCAAGTATTCCACCACACTTTCGGGAAACTTAGTGCTCTTCTTTAAACTCTAGATATATAGCAAAATAAATAGATAAATACATAGATAGATAGATGGATGGAAAGATAGAAAGAAGGGAAGATGGATAGATAAGATATATAGATAGTTTGATAGATTATTGGGTACACGGGTAGGTAGACAGATAGATAGACAAATGAAAACAGAGGGAAACACTATAAATAGATAAAAAGATAGATAGATAGATGTTGGACAATAAAAGTTTTGAAAATTAGTGCTTTTTTAATTAATGAAATGAATTAAAAAATAATAATTACTCAAGAACAAAATTACCTTCATATTCATCTTATGATAAGCCCACTCAACCCACCCCGCAGAGGTTATATTACAGTTAAATAATATCAAGCCCTCAACCAGCTTAGGTCTAAATATATCAATTAGGTCTAAATATATCAACTTAGGTCTAAATATATCAATTAGGTCTAAATATATCAACTTAGGTCTAAATTTATCAATTAGGTCTAAATATACAAATTAGGTCTAAATATATCAACTTAGGTCTAAATATATAAATTAGGTCTAAATATATCAACTTAGGTCGAAATATATCGACTTAGGTCTAAATATATCAATTAGGTCTAAATATATCAACTTAGGTCTAAATACATCAACTTAGGTCTAAATATATCACCTTAGATTTAAATATATCACCTTAGGTCTAAATACTTCAAGTGAGGTCTAACAAACTTATATATTGGTATATTCACCAACTTAGATTGAAATATATCAAGCAATTTGTATAATTCCAAGCATAGGAAATATGTACTTTTATTTCGGAGAAATTTTTAAAATTGATGAAAATCATGACATCAACATCAACATGTAAAAAGAAATCTTTAAATCCTCCAATTTTCTTTTTGCAGAACAGTTTAGACTGAGGAGTATTATAATATTCATTTTTCTAAATCTGATAACAATAAGAAGTTGATGTTATATAATAGAGAATTATTTACTTCAAGAATAGCTGCCTGGCTAAAAGTTGAATTTGAAAAAAAATCAATAATTTAAAAATCCTTCACTCTGGGCCGTAGTAAATTTGAATTCGAACAGGACCTGCGCAGTTTGTACCGGCTTGATAGATAACAGCGTGTACTGACCCGATCCTATGGTACAGTACGTCGCCCTCTAACCAGACTAGCATACGACAGGGGTCAATTTTCTTTGCATAGTCCCGTCGGAGGGCTATGACAACTCCCATTGCGCGTTCATACTTTTTACAGTACCCGGCCTAATCCTAGGCCTATTTGACTGACCCCACTGTGCCCTAGATCTATATTTACCTCCTGAATGCTAGTCGAACTAGTACATTAGCTCCCAACCCAGTTCCCAACCCAACAAAGAACGCTACTCCGTAATGATGGCACACATATTCAACCATCTAGAATATATTTTATATTCAACCATCTAGAATATATTTCATATATTTCCTAATCGTAATAATTGTATATTATACTATTGCATAATAATTGTATATTATATATATTGTATATTATACTATTATACTATATATTATACTATTATACAGTTTATTAAATGAGAATTTCCAACAACAACCAAAAAAGACAAATCTATATTATTTTAGGAAAAGTTTTTTTTAAATCCCTTCTTTATATCACAAACAATGGAACTGAGTTTTTGCCACAAACTCAATTGTTCTAAATCCTGTTACTTTGCAACATGATGGTGTACACCTTTGATATGTCAAACTTAATTATCACATTTAGCAAAATTCTTGTTTGAAATATCACTATTCTAAAACATTGAAGTAGAAATTCATTGCGATTCGAAAATCAGAGTGTGTGTCAATAAGATTCAATGTCTATGCTAATTTTTAGTATTTCTTTAAATACATACCTCTGAAAGTTGTTCCATACTAGGATACTGGAAGTCTGTAGGGAGATTAGGACAATTTGATCTCTAAAATTCAATTATGTATACTATATATTTATCTAGATATTTATATATATATATATATGTATATATATATATATATATATATATATATATATATATATATATATATATAGATATATATATATATATATATAAAGTTGTAATCTCTGTTTGTCTGTCTGTCAGTCTGTTTGTTTGTCCGATCATAACTCGGGAACCCCTTGACTGATTTGTCTCAAATTTTGAGCTTGGGAAAACCACGGGAATGTTCTTAGCTTGGTTTTGAGATTCAACGTTTACGTGGGTCGCCTTTGATAGGGAAAATTTAGTTTCCCAATAAAATCGTTCAAGTGCGGGTAAACGGCAGGAGTAACTTATCGTAACCTTGGCAGCGCTGAGTTCCCAAGCTAGTATTTATTCAAAATTTTAATCTCTGTTAGGGTGCATGTTTGTATGTCCGATCATAACTCAGGCACCCCTGGACCGACTTGCCTCACATTTTGATTGGGGAACTCGTAAGTTCCACGGGAATGTTCTTATATATAGCTTAATTTTTAAATTCTAAGTTTAGTAGCATAGATAAAGATAGATTGCGCATAAGACGACATTTTTCATCTTGAAAGATATAAATGTACAGAGATGTTTTAAAGATATTCCTATTATATAGATTAACTAGGTCGGTTGTGAACATTGGCTGTTCTTATGTCATTGAGTACTTGTGGTGTACATGAGTTCTGTAGAGAGAAATTTATGTTAGTTTAGTCCTTCTCATGTCCTTCTTCAGTTCTCGTCAATATGATATATTGCTCAGTGAAATATTGTTGTTCAAATAGTTCCATTCCCGGAGTTATTTTACACTCTATTATGAAATGCATTAAAACACCAAACCATGGATATATAATAGATGGATATATATCATAGTCAAGATTTTTCGCTGGGGTGTTATGCAGTACATTACCCTGGAACTTACAATTTGTCTTTGGTTTTCGTAAAGTTAATAGATGTCAAAGGCGTATAGAAAAACATTGTAAGTCTTTAAAAATTGATTTAGCCTCCTTCTTTGTATTATAAAAATTGTTGGAGATACTTATATTTAATATTTTGAATTTTAAACAAATTTCTCAATATCTTGGTCAATTCATAAGGTACACAAATGGCAGACCACATTTTGGAATTCTAAAAACAAGGCGCCTTTGATGCCACCAACTCTTTGAAGAAAATGCTATGATCAAAAGATTTAAGCTACATTATCACATTTCTGCTTACAACAGGGCCCACTATCTACCTAAGTTCTTCTCTAATTTGGACCCTGAACTTCACTTCAAACTTTTTTAAAGTACAAATTATTTTTATAGAATGAACAATAGACAGAATAAAAATTTGTTATATTAAAACCTAAAATTTGCTATGCAGAGGTTTTAGAAATTTCCTAAAAATATCTAGGGTCCACTGAGATATAACAGCTGCTTAGCCCACCGACAAAGTTATATGTACACTAGCCCAGAATAGTATAGATCGGTAGAAAGAAGCCTACATATAAGCGGGCCGTGCACCAAACCACCCCGCTTATCATTGAAGTACACTTTGACCCCTAGAAGTATGAGTTCACGGACTGTACAATTCTTGATTATTTTGCGTACATAAGCTATCTATGCTTATTTATTTGCCTAAGTTTAGTAGAGGTCCAATTGTAAGGGAAAAATATCTAAAATCTTAAAGCGCATGTAAAATGCGAGAGTAACCATATGAGTACTCTGGGCAACGCTTGGTTCTTATTACAACATGGTGTTATACTTATGATAAAAAGAGCTTTTATTTAAATTTCTACAATTAGAAGATTTGACTATGATTGAAACTGATTTCTTAATAAATAAAGTATGTTTTCTTTGAGTATTGTTTGAATTATTTTTATTTAAAATTAAAGTTTAGTAAACATGTATTGTCAATGATAACATAACAATTCAGCGTATATTTCACTGATCTATCACTTAATCTGTTTAATTTAAAAGTTTATGCTCTTAGATTTGAATAAATTACAAAAGTTCCAATCTCTGCAGGTTTATCCATAAAGTTTTCTATGTATTTGTAGGAATAGCTAAAATACGATCTATAAATAAAATTCTCAGAAATAAACTCAAGCTTGTGAAAAGGATGAAGGAGAAATTAGTTTTGAGAAAATATTATTAAACCTTGGTGAAAAACAGGTTCTTTTTACATTATATTTTTTGCATTTTTGAAAAAGAAAAAAATTAAATTATGAAATATATCCCAGGGTGTCGTATCAGTTGGACTAACGTTTGCTTGGACTAATGTTCATTTGGACCAACGTTCAACAGGGCTATACATATAGTCCTGTTGAACCAAAAATGTGTTCAATTAAACAATTTTTTTTAAAAATTACCTTCCATTAAGTTTAAGTATTTTTACCAAAAACAATCATATGATGTAATTTTATTATTTGCAGGTTAGTTTAGGTTACGCCAATTTATGGGCCGAGCGCTGCGGCTAGGACAGCGTATGGGGCCTAGCGCTGCGTTAAGGACAATGTTGGGGCCCAAGCACTGCGGCTATGACATGCAAGGGAGTAAAGCGCCGCGGCAAGGACAGGCTAGGGAGCCGGCGCTGCGGCCACAGATCTCTTAAATGATGATGCCTATGTATTAAAATAAATTTTTTCTTTTTTGAAAAATTTCTATTTTGTTTATATGTACTAATGTTCAATTGGACTAAAAACCGGTTTGCGAACAACTGACTTTTGTTTAATTGTATGTTAAAAGCTATAGTCCAATCGATATAGCATCTATCCCAGTTTTTTGAATATTTCTGCAAAATTAACATTTTTTAAATGCATATGTTCAAGTAACCCAGATACTATAGAGTGGTGAATAAATATTATAAAATGACATCACCTGACCCGGAGCAGTAATATGAAGAATGGAGAATCTAGAAACTACAGCAGCCATGGCGCTACAACCAAGAAAAGACTGAAAAAAATAACTTCTGAATATTTTGTTTGATTAATAAAATCTGGAATGTAGAAAAAAAAAATTAAGATAAAAATTATTTTGAATGTAAATGTTTAGAATTTTCAAAATTTTATATTTATAACTCGATTCTAATGAATGATTTTTAAATGTTCACATATAATTTTAAAAAATGAAAAAAACTATTTTAATCATTTCTAATTTTTCAAAACTATGAAAAAGTAAAATAAATTTAATTCTAGGAATGTTTGAAGATGTTTCTCAAGTTCTAATCTTATTAAATAAATCATCTTAAATAGCTTTGGATCTAGTTCATTCAATTAGTGGCATAGCAACATATTTATTTACGTTCACCAATAAAATGCAACAATAATTACAGAATTGATGGAGGACGCATAAAGGGCGCACAAGGAAGGCATAGATAGATTTGGAACGTGCTTGGAGGATTTACAAACACCTTAAACTACGGTTCATTAGAAATACGGTACGCACATTGAGGACACGCATTTAGGACAGACATTGAAAACGCTAATTTGAGGACATACATATTGAGGACACACATTTAGGACATTTAGGTATATAAATAAAGGATACACATTGAGGAAACACATTTAGGTATATAAATAAAGGATACACATTGAGGAAACACATTTAGGTATATAAATAAAGAATACACATTGAGGAAACACATTGAGGTATATAAATAAAGGATACACATTGAGGTATTTACATAAAGGATACACATTGAGGATACACATTGAGGTATATACATAAAGGATACACAGAGAGTTATATACATAAAGAATACACATTGAGGATAAACATTGAGGTATATAAATAAAGGATACACATTGATGATACACATTGAGAATACACATTGATGACGCGTATTGAGGACACACATTATGGATGTCCATTGAGAACGAACATTGAGGACACATTTTTAAGACAGAAAATGAGGACGCACATTACATGAGCATATTTATTATGAACTATATTGGGGAAGCAAAAAGTGTGACAAATACACCCTATTAG